TTATATCCCTCTTCCTTTATTATTTTTTTCTCGTGATTAACATTAAGTTTACTAATATGATTAGACAAATCTTCAATGTCTACAACATTTTCCTTCAATAATTTGCTCTTAGATTTCTCATTTTGAATGACACGTTTCAGGTATGATGAATTTTCTATTGATAAATATGGGATCATAGATATTGCTCCTTCCGCTTCTTTACGACAATCATTTACAAATTCACAATTTTTACAACGAACATTATAAGGCCATGAAACTTCCGAAGCTGACGCTATCCGTGGAAGATCGGTTTGTAAAAATCGTTCAACTTTCGGAAATAAGAAATCTATACGGAATGTTTGACGTTTTAATTCTTCGGATGAATATAAAAATATTCCTCCTGATCGAGAAATTGAAACTCCACGCATCCTTTTGCTTTTGATTATGTTATCTAAAAGAAAAGCGTATGAAGCGACTTTGAACTTAAAATTGTGAATAAAAAAAAAATTTTTTTTTTATGGCATTAAAATTGAAATTATAATAAATTATGATAATGTTACAAATGTCGAGTACTGTGGCGAAATGAATTACCTGATAAGAAAAGCGTGCTTCTTTTGATGCATTGGCATCCCATATAATTAAACGTTTTTCACCATCCTCCTCAATAACTTCCACGAAATCAGGAATAAAGGCTTTTAATCTAACGATTTCTCTGATTTTTAATTCATCGTATAAGTCATCTGATACCTCGAATTTTAATCGATATAAGAATTGCCCTACTTGAACATTCTCCAAAATTTTACGGATTTCAGAGGGTTCTGTATCACTATGATCAATTATGTTATCTTTTAATTCATTGAAGATATTTTGTTTAATTTCTTTTAAACGACTTATTAAAGCCTTCTTTAATGCTGAATGATCCGTATTTCGTTTGTAATTCAAGATATTCGATATCAATTTATCGCAACTAAAGTGAAAATATTTTGAAAGATCTGAAAGTGCGATTGAAGGAATTTCTTTATGTTTATCTGAAGTAGACTGTTAGATAGGAAATTAAATAAGAAATGTTTATCCAGTAAAGTTTAATAGAAGTGTTTACTAGTATTTTACCTGTGACATTTTCCACAAAGTTTGCTAATGTAATCGACAACAAAAAAAAAAGATCATACAAGATAAAATCAACAATACTCATTTCCATCAAACCATAAGTAGCATTATATATACTAATTCCTAATTGGATATTTTTTATGAAAATCCGAATTTACTGCGGGTAATAACAACTTTCGGTACAGTTTTCTCTTGAACTAACATAATAATTGCAAGTTTAATTTGTTGATAACGACACTTTAATTCGCTTAGATTAGCTTAACAATGATATTTTTTCTTATTCCATTTACAAGTAGCTAATTCTTCAACAATGTAAACAAGTTTTACTCAAAATGTAACAACAAAAGTTCATTAAAAATTAAAAAACAAAGGTTATCACTAAAAAGAGAGAAATGAGAGCTACAAAATAAAAAAAAATTTGATACAAAAATTTTATGTAGTTAACTTGAAAATCGTACCTTCGTGAGTCGTATTAAAAAAATAATACTATTTTTGGTATGAAACATGCCATGAACTAAAACAACTTTTAAACGACGGCAACAATTAAAAAAGGCACGTAATCAACGGCAATTTTCAAAAAAAAATATTGCCCAAACAAGTAATGATAGCTATCATGTTAATGATAGCCATAACGATAGCTATCATGTTAATGATAGCTATAACGATAGCTATCATGAGCATCACGATGGCAATCACGATAGCTATGACGATAGCTATCATGGTAACTATGACGATAGTTATAACAATAGCTATAATGATAGCTCAAATGTTGAATTTGACATTAAACAACAAAAAATCGACAAGCTTATTGAGTACGCAGTTGTTTTACCAGACTCAACTCTAACAACGTTTATTAATATAATCGAAAAACTTGTACAAGCACAATTTCTCCAACCAAAATATTTAAAAGTGTGGAGTTCATTATTAAATATAGCAACAAATATGGATAATAAAGAGTTGAAACTTGGGGTATCATTATTAAATCGTATGCGATACAGTAAAGGACCTAAAACCGGCAAGATTTTTTCAAAGCATATACAACAAAAGGCTTATAATTTTATAGAAAGATCTTTATACCATTCAAATAATAGTCTTACTAAAACCAGAAAGCCAT